CAAAACTTAAGGAAAACATTTTTCAAACCTCTCTTTCAACTTCAAATTACAATTACATTTTTGTTGAAAAAATCAATTTATTTTGTCCCTACCCTCAAACCAGCCCCCCCAACCACCCCCCCCCCCCCCAAAAAAAATAAAAAATTTAAAGCTTCTTTTTAAATTCAATTTTTTTACCCCACCTTCACCCCTACCCCCTCCCAAAAAAATATTAAAAATTGTTTTTAAAAGATATTTCTAATTTCATTTTTTTATTTTTTTACCCCCCATCCAGTACCCTCGCCCCCCATCTGTCCCCCTATTAGCCCCCAACCCCGTTCAAAAAAAAAATTAAGTTTTTTTAAAAAACATATTTTCAACTTCAAATTTTTATTTTTTCATCCCGATCATCGATCACCCATGCCCCCCCTCCCCGGCCACTCCTCTCCAAAAAAATTGAGTTTGTTTTTAAAAAATATTTTCAACTTCAAAATTTCATTTTTTCACCATACCCTCGACCCCCTCCCTCACCCACCTCCTACCCAGCCCCCCACTCACCCCACCCCCAGCCCCCAAAAATAAAATTTAAGTTTGTTTTTAAAAAATATTTTCAACTTCAAAATTTCATTTTTTCACCCTACCCTTGACCCCCCCACCCACCTCCTACCCAGCCCCCCCCCCCACCCACCCAGCCCTACCATCCCCGCCCCCCAAAAAAAAATTAAGTTTGTTTTTAAAAAATATTTTCAATTTCAAAATTTCATTTTTTCACCCCTACCCTCGACCCCCCACCCACCCCCCTACCAGCCCCCCACCCCAAAAAAAATAATTTTAAGTTTGTTTTTAAAAAATATTTTCAATTTCAAAATTTCATTTTTTCACCCCCACCCACGCACCTCCTACCAGCCCCCACCACCCCCAAAAAATAATTTTTAAATTTGTTTTTCAAAAATATTTTCAATTTCAAAATTTAATTTTTTTCACCCCTACCCACCCCTTACCAGCACCGTCCCCCCACCCCCAAAAAATAATTTTAAGTTCGTTTTTAAAAAATACTTTCAACTTCAAAATTTTATTTTTTCACCCCAACCCTCGACCCCCCCCCCACCCCCCAAAAAAAATTTAAGTTATTTTTAAAAAAATATTTTCAATTTCAAAAATTATTTTCTACTCTAATTAAAATAAAAGATATTTCTCAAAAATATTTTTCATTCATAAATCAAACACTAAAAATCTTTTCCGGAAAATATTTTCTACTCACAACCAAACATGAGAAAATAAGTAAAAAATTAACTTGTTTTCCAGGAAAACATTTTCCTTCATACCAAACACACCCTTAAGAGTATCATTTTTACGAGGAATCTCAATAGCTTAGTTGATTGACCACCTAAACTCTCACTTTGTTAAGGGCATTTTGATTCTCCATCTATCAATCCACTCCCTATTTCCCTTTCCACGACCTCAAATTAAAATAAAAAAAGGTTCTATTTTCACACACATATATACCATTAGGGGCGAAGGCGCGAAGCTATAGTAGAATTAGGGGGGTTCGGACGAACCCAATAGTTATTACGTAAACACCATATTTTTGTATTTGAAAATCTAGTTAGTATATATATTATTTAACCTGCGAACCCACATGCAGAAGTAGCTAGATGATTCAGTGGTAAAAAGGATTTACAAATTTCTTTTGTTGCTAAGCTGTTTGGGTTCGAATTTCATTAGCTTTGTTGAATTTCCCCCTATTTTCTATTTTGATCTCCAAATATAGATTTCTCTATTTTTGGGAGAAAACCAACTCCAACCCAATTTTTTATTTAACTCTATAAAAAGGAATCTCCTTCTCTTTCATCGGTATTATATTATTATTTATCAACTACAAATAGTTGGGAAAAAAAAATCAACCATCATAGCCGCAATCACAATCATGACAACTCTCTAGATCATACATTAATTTTTCGAATATTGGTAAATCTGGAAACAATCTACCGGATTACTAAATTATTGTTGTGATTTTTAAAGTTATGACATCTTGTTATTGTTGTGTATTGTATTGTTATCTTGAATTTAAAGTTATTATGTTATACATTGTATTGTTATCTTGTATTTAAAGTTATTATGTTATGTATTGTATTGTTATCTTGTATTTAAATTATTATGTTATGGATTTTTAAATTAAATATTTCATCTTATCATTTAAATTTTTTGCATTTTTCATAGTGAATAATAATAATAGTTTAAAATTATATTAGCGAATTTTTTTAAAAAATATTTAAAATAATGTGTCATGCACTATTTTTTTTTTATGATACGTAAATTCGAATTTATACTAAATGTATCTGATACATAACAATTACCAAACAATAATGTATCGATCTCAAATCTAAAATCTTATGGGCAACACTTTCTTATTTAATGTATCTAGTAGAAATACAACACTTATCAATTTAAATTGAAAGGATCTTCATGATGTATCTTCTCAAATTTTTCGATAATTTTGAATTAAAATTGAAAGGATCTTCAATGAACTAGGAGAATAATTTTGAAACTCAAAATTTTCAACAATTTTGAATAAAAACTGAAAGGATCTTCAATGAACTGGGAGAAGAATTTTGAATCTCAAAATTTTCGATAATCTTGAATCAAAATCAAAAGGATATTCGATGAACTTGAAGATTCACAAAAGAAATTGTTTGTCCAACAACAATTCCATCACTTTTGTATCCTTCATAACTCATCTCGCTTATCCAAAATTTTGACAAAATTTTTTATGAAACAAAGAGAATGATGAACAAGAAGAAGAAATTGAAATTTTGAATTTTTTGATTTGTTACATATATGATTGAATTCTTGACAATAATTTGGAATGGAATAGCGTAATTTATAGGATCTTAATTTGATTTTCAGTTTTTTTTTTCCCTTAATTAGTGCAACAGATGGATACGATGGATACTATGAGATCTTAATTTGATTTTTCAGCTTTTTTTTTCCTTAATAAGTGCAACAGATTGATACATAATGTATCAACAATAATGTATCTGGATCCTTAATTATGTATCCGAAATGCCTAAAAAACATGGGATTTATGTAATTAGAAAAATAATAGGGATAGAAAGTAATTTAGGTTTTACACTATGAGATTTATGTAAGTTATACTAAATTTTATTCTGAATAAATTTTACATAGATTTTCTCTTTAACTCATACATGTGTTAGTTATTTGAATTTCTAAATTGCAAAATAAACACTATATTAATTTTATACATAATCCTAACTAAGACCATCTCCAATCCATCTCTATTTTACTCTATATCTTCTATATTTAGAGAGTAAAATAGAAAATGGGTTCTCCAACCGCTCTCTATTTCACTCTCTAATTTCCAATTATAGTGATATGACTATTCATACTCTTTATTTCACTTTATGATTATTATATTATTAATTTGTTATTTATATGTATAAATAACTAAATTCTGCATAGTTAATTATTTCATAAGCTAATACATACAATTACTCATAATTATTTGTCTATAATTTCTATTTCAAAGGAAGGATAATAATGTCTTTGTCAACAAAAAAAAAAATCCTTTGATACTAAATAAAATATAATTAAATGGATTTCTAAATATGCCTAGCATCAATATGGAGTATATATCGACAACTTTACAAGAATCTCAATACATTATCCAAAATATCAGATAAGATTAAGTAAAGTAATCAATTTATAATGACTATAGTTCTCTTTCGTTGAAACGAATATAGTTGAAGTAATAAAAAAGTGAAAGTAAGCTATTAGTGGTAAAAACATGATAGGGGAGATGCGATGGAATTGCAATCAGATAAGGCAGGACTTCGTATATCGGTAAACGGAACTTATTTGACTATTTGTAAGTTGGTAAGACTCTTAATAAGCAATATTGTGTGGAAGTGGAGTCAGAATTTGAGATTTTTGAATTTAAATAGTAGTAAGAAAAAAGCAATTAAGTTGTATATGAGCGGATAAAAAATAAGTCCGATGTAAATGAATGAAATATATAACCAACATATATTTGATATATGAATAAAAAAAATATTAACACCAATGAATAAATAGATATCTATATTATATTTTAGGAGTACTTCTTATAGGAGTATTATTTAACAGAAATAAGTACTCTTATATTATAAATCTTTTTTCATGTTTTTTTTTTCTCTTTAGGGTGAGTTTGGTAGGAAGGAAATTATTTTCATCTCTTTTTAAAATATATAATTATATACTTTAAAAAATAATGAACTCTAACTAATTTTTTTGGAAAATATGATTTTAAAACTGTGTTTGTGAAATAGTGGAACGAAATGATGTTTCTTTTTATTTTAGAGAGAATGCGCTTTTTGTTTTTTTTCAATGTTGTATTTTATGTTTTACTTTTTTAAAAACCAAGTTTTGAAAAGAAAATTTGTAAATATAAAGAAAAATCTCACGCAACAACAACAACAACAACAATAATAATAATAATATTATTATTATTATTATTATTATTATTATTATTATTATTATTCATTGGTGTTAATATAATATAGATATTTATTTAATATAAATATTAATTATACATCATCTAATATTAAATAATACTCCCTTCGTTTACTTTTACTTGTTATATTTTGACTTGACACACATCTATTGTGAAAATAATTACTGATATATGTATTTTACCAAATTATCCCTATTAAATGATGGTAAAGGAGTATTAAAAATTAAAAAAAAGTATTAAGTCTTGAAAAATAATTTGATTAAACAGTATTTAATGGTGAGAGTAAATATGAAAAAATATAATACTTTTTTTTCATATGTCAAAAGTGATAAATAAAAATAAAAATATATTTTAAGAAAAAGTGAAGGGAGGGAATGATATTTATGGTAACCAGCTACCGGTGAATGTGAAAGGAAGTAGTAGTAGAAGATGTAAGTCAAAGATGGTTTTAGGGAGAATTTTAGAAGAGATATATATATATAGCAACACACTTGTAGAATTGTATGTATCGGTGTGTGGAAGAGAGAGAGAAAAAGACGCGCACAAAGCAAAAGTGTGTAAATGTAATGAAAAGCCGGCTACAAGCAAATTATCCTTTCCCCTTGTAAATCTTACTGGTTCTTCATCTAAGCACTAGTTGTTGCTGATCACAGTAAACGATTGAGCTGAGGAACATCGCTTTATCTGTTGATTTGATTGGATCTGTTAATAAATGGGTTGCTTCTCCTGTTTTGATTCTAAAGAGGATGAGAAGTTGAATCCCCAAAAAGATAGAGATGATTCTAACCGCAAGCAACCCCATCTCACCGCTCCCTCAAATATATCCAGGTTATCTTCAGGTTTGTCTTTTCTCTCATTCCATTTATCAAATTATCTATTTTTATTACATCAACTTGAAAACTCAACTACTAAGATTCCCCAAGATATATGTTGATCTCTCTCTTTTAACTAGGGGGAAATTAAGTTCCAGATAGCCAACCAACTAAGTTATTAAGATTCCCCAAGATATATGGTTCTCAATTGATCGGAGGGTGTCTCTGTATCAATCTTGAACGGGATTTAAGTAAGATCAATCTCCCCCAAAAAATGAAATGGGGATAGAATTTGGATGAAAGGTCTATTTGGATTATTCCCTTTTCTGTTCGCAGCTCCTAAGTTAGATTTTTTTCTCTACTTATGGATCTCCACTGTTTTACTTACAGGGGCAGACAGACTTAAAACAAGAAGTACCAATTGTTCAAAGAGAGAATTTTTGGGGATAAAGGATGCACCTGATGTTCAGATTGCTGCACATACATTTACTTTCCGTGAGCTTGCAGCTGCTACTAATAACTTCAGGCCAGAATCTTTTATAGGTGAAGGAGGGTTTGGTCGTGTGTATAAAGGGCAATTACCTAGCGGTCAGGTAAATTCCTTTTGAGGTTTGTTCTTTTAGTTCTCCTAGATTACCATGCAACCAGGTGATACCCCTTTTTGTCCGTGTTACCGGCCCTTCCCCCTTGTTCCTTTTCCTTCTTCTAGTACTTGGAATTGGAGGGTTCGGGGTAGCAGTATGAAGCCTGCCAGCACTCTGGCATAGGCAGTTCTTATATCAGAAATTGTTACAATGTGCTTGAAAGAAATAGGTAGAGGAGCCAATTAACTGACCTCCAGTCTTTAATTATTTAAGATTTCCTTGTTCTGGTAGTTCTCATGTTGGCAGAACATAAGAGGTAATTGGTTAGGAAATGAGGAGAGATAGGTAGAAGGAGAGAACCAAGTTTTTTTTATAGTGATATTCAGAAATAGAACGTAATTGTATCTGTTTGGTTATCACTAGTTTCTTTCATCCCACTTGGTCTTCCTTTTCTGTAGTCTTGTGTGAAGAAACTAAAAATTTGTGGAACAATCACCCCGCTTGTGTGCATTGAATGAATCTAAAAGCACACATGTTCATAGAGGGGCTGCATCTGGCTAAAAGTAAACCAGAAAATGATCTCTCGGTCTTTTTTTTTCACCAAGTTGAACACCGAAAAGCAAATGGTAAAGCAGGCTATTAATGATGCTTATTGTAGCTGGTAGGAAATAGGAGCTTAAGACATCATGTTCCAATGACAAATCTGCTGGAGTTTGATTTCTGGACTCCCTTTCATCTGCTCAGGGACAGAGCCAAGATTTCCCCATGATGGAGATGAAAATTATGCTTGATATGCTGAAATGCTAAGTTGTCATATCCTAGATGGATCAATTTAATTTTAAGGGATCCTAGATGGCTCATTTTCTTATAGAACTAAATTGTGAGATATCACCAATTTGTCTTTATAGCCTGATTAGTTTGGCAGGAAAATAATGCATTAATTCAAATACCATAGAGGAGGAGGAGACACAGAATTTTAAGATATTCCACAGATATAGTCCAAGTAAAACTCGTGTTACCTTCATTTTCATGCATTCGTCTTGATTTCTTGTCCCTTCTACCACATATGTAATATCATGAAAAAATATGATAGCATCATGATGACAAACATCCATTAAAGGACTTGGATAAAGCTTGGGAATCAAGAAGATGTTTATCGTGGAAGAAGAGCTCAAGAATGAGCCCGAGAATATGCTTATCGTGGAAGAAGAGCCCAAGAATAACCCCAGGAATTATGGCAAATAGTGGACTAAGTGATACACATATTTCATGGTCCAGGAAAACAGAACAATATCCAGAAGATAAAGACTAATTGCCTAGGGCTTTATTATTTTTGGTGTAAGCAAGTGTGATGGGAGATGCTGAAAATGTGTTTAATATTATTGACTGGTTGTAACTAGAAGATCCTAGGAATGATGTAAGTAAAACTTTTTGGAGGGGGACTACACTTTGATGTAGTATACCTGTGGATAAATAGAAGTAATGTTACCTTTCTCAAAAAAATATATTTCATGGTCCAAGTTCAAGTCCAAAAGGAAGAAAATTGAGCCACATGGAGCCCAAAAGAGTGTCAAACATGCAGCACAAAGAGGGCTGAATCCACGCCCAAAAAGGGGTGTGTTTTGATGCAAATTTCACATCTTTCCTTATCTTTAGTTAGGTAGTTTGGGAAGAAGTGTGATATTTGTTGTTCCCTGAACGCACATTCAAGTATACCTAGTCGTACGAGTAATAAAGTGTTGTTCAGAGCGTCAAACCCACAGGGACTTGTAATTAACTATATACTCAATTAAACGATCCTAGTTATATATACGAGGATTAAACTCCAAAGTCGTGTTTCTAAATTAATTAAAATAAGAAAACAAATAATCAACTACCCAATGAAGACTTACCTACTAGCCTTTAGAAATATTCACACTTGTAATGGCCATGAACATTAACAAATTTAGTCATGTTAAAACTTAGAAAATATAACCATTTTTTATGGATGTATATCTTATTGATGCATACCCCGAAGTTTATAAAGCTCAGTGTACAATTTTGTGGCAATATTATTTACCTCATGAAAACATCCTTTATGACAAAAAAATAACTTGTTGACCATGTCATATCCACATTTTATGAGATCAAGTTATGATAATATTAGAATATTATTTGAAGGGAGAGTATGAAGACAAAGCAATTACTTTACTGGTTTGATTTCCTCCACCGTTTGTTGCACGAGTATGGGTACATCAACTCTTGTATAATAATCTTATCCATGTCCATGATTTTCATCTGTAAGCCTAAACCAACTGATTGAATAAAGTAGAAATTTATAAACAAATTAAAACATATCTGTTGATTCTAGCATCAGACCAAATCTCAGTGACTAGCATAATAATTAAAATCGTAAGGCCAGCACCAACAAGAAAATGAACTAGAAGGTGATGATATTTAGAATCTCATGTTGATAACATGTTATGAAACTATAAAACTATAAGAAGAACAATATAGTAGGGAGAACTGAGAAGAGGGAAGACTTCTTATTCTCTGGAGGGATTCTTTACAATGAAGAGAATCCTTTAATTTATAGGGGAAAATTAACTTGGTCCCTAAGTTAGGGTTCCTAACTTTTCTCCAAAAGATACATACAAAATAAACATCAACTATAATACAAATATATTTATAACAAGAAGTGAATTTTTGTTATTTTTCGAACAACAACATTATTATTAATAGAATTTGAAAGGTTTCTCTTCTTTTACACCTTTCTGTTTGATGACTATGGTTTTATCTTGCAAGAAACATTCTTTAAGAGGTTAGTCTAATTCTTAACTTGATATCTTTAGTTTCTATTAAAATAAATTAAAGAATGTATTTGTCTTCTTTTTTTTGACAAAGAAAGAATGTAATTAGTCTTATACTAATTAGTATTTAGTCTCTAATTTCATCGAAATAGGGGTCTAGATCACTTTGTTATCTAAGTTCTTGAATTGACTCTATTAATACTATAATTAGCTTCGATCCGTTAATTTTTAAGTACGAAGATCAATTAGGGTTCTTAACACTTTATTATAAAATTTGGAGTTGTTATTATCGAATTTCGCATATCTTTAAATTCCTATCTTTAATCTTCATATTTTCCATTCTTCATTATTTTCTTGTTTTCTTTCAAGTAACTGGATTCTTATCAAAACACCTTTGAATTCTTGTCCCTTGTTTCTTAGCATAAATCTAGTGTATTCTGATCTTATAAGATTTTTGTGAAGTAAAGTCAGTGTATTGTTTACTGCCAGATACAACCACAAAAGAAACTCACAAGTCATAAATACCAATGATGCTACAAAAGTTTCAGTATGTGGGCTTCTGGTTATATTTTAAGGAGAAACTAATAAATCTGAATAAAGCAAGCTCAAGTAAATGTTAATTATTTACAAACTGTGATAACTTTTTCTAAATGTATCCCTTCCTATTACAATCATGTCAACTTCTTCACCAATATTGAAGGAGAGATTGCTATCATTTGAAACTTCCCTTGTGGCTAAACAACGTTATTATTACCATTACTCCTAAAGTTTTGAGGAGCATTGCCAATTAGAGTATCTTAGCATATATAAATTAGTAACAAGGTTGAAGCAAGACCGTGCTGTAGAATTCCATAGCTTTCATAATTCATAAAATAATTCTTCTTGAAACTACCCGTGTAGTTGTACATATTATTGATAACGTTTCTTCTAGACTCTTGAAGAGCACTACAAAAGGAGGTAAATTTCAGGCCTAAATGTTCAAGCAAGGCATTTTCATAAAACTCACGTTAACTAATTCTCAAATCTATAGGATAGTTTCTATGAAGAAACTCAGAAAAATGCTGGATGAAAGAAATAACAAGAGATTAATAGTTTAGTAGTTTACGCTTATACCATGCCATGCCATTTCTAACATGTGCCATTAGCTGTGGTGATTGAACATTCTGAGTGGATCACAAGGAAATAAGATATTCATCTCATTTGACTCTATATGGACAAAAATGTTAGAAGTACCATCTTGAAGCTTCTTAAGTCCAAGCTTCGGCCTCTAATCATTGTCAAGGTTTCATTCGCCAGAAGTTTGAATTTATTTTATATTCTGCAACCATTAAATGTGAAGATTCTTGAACGCCCCAGGTAGTTGCTGTAAACTTTTGTTCCTTCAGTTAAATATGTTTGATGAATAATTGGTTGATCTTCCCAGGTTGTTGCAGTTAAGCAATTGGATAGGAATGGGCTTCAGGGGAATAGAGAATTTTTAGTGGAGGTTCTTATGCTTAGTCTTCTTCATCATCCTAACTTGGTGAATTTAATTGGTTACTGTGCTGATGGGGACCAGAGGCTTCTTGTCTATGAGTTCATGCCTTTGGGATCACTAGAGGATCACCTTCATGGTAACCTATTTTGCATGTCATTCTGCTTGTCTGATTTATATTTCTTCTCTGTTTATGTAGCATGTGGCTTATACCCCATAACATGCAGCAAGATATTCCATATGTATTACTTCTTGTGTCCCAAAACTGAAGTTGGGATATCTATTTTCAGTGCAACTTCTGAACTCTTCTTGAGATAGAATTTTACATGTTTGTAAACTTTATTATATGAATTACATTTTTATCAAAAAAATGTTCAGAAAAATATTTGTCAAAGACAAAACTGTTGGACTATCTGGATAGTGACATTCTTCGGGAGGGAGAGACCATGGTGGAGCTACAATGACCTAAGTTGTTCAGACTCTTTATTTCTGTGCTGCACCCATGTTGACACGACACGGTTGTGTGATCCATACACGATCTGGTCAATTGATTATGAGTACTTTGACAAAAATCCATACAGAAATTTGGGACAAATAAAAACAAAAGCTAAGGTGAAATTGAAGAACATGGAATAGTTAATATATAGAAATTTCTATGTCAGTCCTTTTTCTTTTATCTCCTTCTGGGATTTTCATCTTGGATCAATAGCTTCTCTTCAGAATAACGTATAAATTTTTCACATAATGTCTCATAATTTAGACATACTTTTATAAATCTATTTTTAGATAGTTGAATTTTGTTAGCTGAACCTCTGCACCCATATTTGTACCCCCGAATCGTAAAAGTTAGATCATGAAGGATCCAACCTCTAGATGTGCACCCATATCGAATACTTGCACTCGAGTCCAAGGGTGGTTAGTTGAGCACCCTTCGTCAGAAGTCACACAGTCTATATAGTTAAAACTGTTAGGCCCTTTCTTAAAAAAAAAAGAATCAGACTTGACATACTGGTTTGTTCTATATGGTTTCTCTCCATAACCAACCAGCTCTGAATTTCTCTCTTTCTAAATCAAATATCAAATTTGGCGCTTCTCTTTCTTTTTCCTGATCCCATTTATTTCAATTCTTGACAGTTACAGGAATTAGATTTTTAGATATCCTATAAAATCTGTTTCAACTAATTCACTGATCAGGTGAATTAAATTTTTCATTGCTCTATACATATGTTATACTCAAATTATTATCTTTACTTTAATTTTCTTATTTAATTTTAAAACCAAATTCTTTCTCCTTTCTTTTTCTTTTGTTTGCTTCGAACAAAATTGAGTTGTGTTAGCGAAATTCCTCGAAAAAAAGCAGTGCATCCTTACATTAAAGAATCGCTCCCTAGTCTATACATGTGACAATTTGTTCTATTGAAGTTATTTTTCTTCTTTTTTTTTTTTTTAATTTAAATTTAAAACCAAACTCATCTCTTTTTTTTTTTTGCTTCTGCAAAAAAATATGACAGTGGGGCCTCTAACTCAACCTCAAAAAAGCTAGCTCAATGCACTCCTATGTAAAAGCAGGATAAGTAAAAACAATGTGGCGTTCCTCGAAGCAGGATAAGTAAAAGCAAAGGAACTTTTGGTTAAAATTGAGTTCCTATGTAAAAACTTGTCCAAGCTTTGGCGGTCAGGGTTATGTCGTACTTGTTTTTTTTTTTTTTGTTTCTCACCCGGTGTCCGGTACCCACATTGGAGTCCGACTAAATCTGGATTCACGCCACGAAGTCCCACATTGGGGGGTAAAGCGCTCCCTAACAAAAGCTACTCCGTACCCAAGGGGACTTGAACCCGAGACCTCTTGGTTAAGGAAGAAGGAGTACTTACCACTCCACCACAACCCTTGTTGGTGTGGTACTTGCCTTGGTTGGAGGTAACAGGTACCACATGGAATTAATTAGTGCACAATACTGCACATGTTTGTCTAGACACCAGGGTTATAAGAAAAAAACCTATATGAAAAGTCAAAAATCAGTACAACAATTTGCAGAGTTCCCCTTAAATGAAAATGACTGGGATAACTTGCCTGGAAGAGACCATATTCTGCAAGCATTCAAGCAGGCAGTACCCAAGTTCTCATTAGAGGAATCTTTTCCATGAAATAACACAAAGCATCCAGTTGATTTCATCAGGGTGGCTAGGCCTGATTTTGTGCTTGTTGCTTATATATATTATCTGCCTACATATTTACATGTAGTATTGTGCTATATGCAGCAACCAATATTCCATGTAATCTTATATCTCAGTCTGTAGTTACATATGACTTGTTCCTCGCACATACGAATAAAAAAAATATTGTTCCTCACACATGGACTTAGATCTAAACCGACTGCAGTGATAATATCATTTCTTGTCCCACCAGAATGTCTTATATTGGCATGACCAGTGGTGGATCTAGAGGTGGCCGAGGGTGTTCATCCGAACTCCCTCGGTAAAAACTTACACTATATATAAGGTAACTTTTAAATTTTTTACAGATATATATTGATTTTAAATCCCCTAAACACGAGTAGAAGTTGACTTAGTGTTTTAGGGGTTCAAAATTCACCTTGAACTTGAGGTTCCAAGTTCAAATCTCAAACCCTACTGGCCATGACACCATTTATCTGAGGGAAATATTCACGGATCCAAAATTGGTGGGGTTGGTGTTAGTTCATCTCATCTATGATTTTCCTTTAGTTTGTACATTTTATTGTTCTTAATGTTGTACATCCCTAAGAGTCTGAACCCTTGTTATGCACTAAGTACGCCTGATGAGTTCTATATTTATAATCTCAGGGGAGGTTATCTTTACCTTTCCATTATTAATGCTGCCTTGTTGTTTCTGTGACAGTCCTCAATTGCTTGAAACCTGCCTGCCACTCTTCCCATTCTATTATGGGATATGCCCGGGATTATATCCGAAGAACCAGTGTTGTATAGATGATAATTTAGGACTAGGAGATGGAAGAATAGAATCCTTGTATCCCATGGGTCCCTAATATGATGGTGGTTTAAAGAGCTCTTATGGCTTTATGATTGTATAGCTGTCTTATAAACCTAGCCATTTCTCTCTAAGGCATACTTTTGATTGCCAGTTTTCAACTTAGATCTTGCATGTTACCCGTTTCATTAGTTTTTTATGAACAATATTATACTGCAGAATTTTGTGACTCTAGGCTTTGTGTTCTTTAGTGATCTCATGTGAATAAGTGGTGTGCAGATCTCCCTCCTGATAAAGAGCCACTAGATTGGAACACGAGAATGACGATTGCATCTGGTGCAGCAAAAGGTTTGGAGCACCTTCATGATAAGGCGAACCCTCCTGTTATTTATAGGGACTTCAAGTCATCCAACATATTGCTTAAAGAAAACTTTTTCCCGAAGCTTTCTGATTTTGGGCTAGCAAAACTTGGTCCTACTGGAGACAAGTCACATGTGTCCACAAGGGTCATGGGAACTTATGGTTACTGTGCCCCTGAGTATGCCATGACTGGACAATTGACTGTCAAATCTGATGTCTATAGTTTTGGGGTTGTGTTCTTGGAGCTTATCACTGGACGTAAGGCTATTGACAGCACCAAACCTCAGGGAGAACAAAACCTTGTCGCATGGGTAATTAATCTGCTTATTTCTTTCCTTTAGTTTAGCAATTTGTTGATTTATTTTACTCGTGATCATGTCCAAGAGTGGAGCCACCTATTGGGAAGGGGATTCAAGTGAAAGTAATTTAAGTGATGGGTTCAAATCCCAAGTGTGTCATTGTTGTATTTTTTGAATCCCCTTGGCAGAATTCCTTGCTCTGCAACTGATCACATTTTTGTGTGAAAATAACAAATTGAATGATTGACTATCCTTTGTAATTCTGAATGTATATCCAGGCTAGGCCACTGTTTAATGATCGTCGGAAATTTGCAAAATTAGCTGATCCAAGTCTTCAAGGACAATTTCCAATGAGAGGTCTGTACCAGGCTTTAGCTGTGGCCTCCATGTGTATCCAAGAACAGGCTGCTGGTCGTCCACTAATTGGGGATGTGGTCACTGCCCTTTCTTATCTTGCAAATCAGTCATATGATCCTGGTACAGTTCCTGGGCAAATTCATAGATTTGGGGCAGACAGTGTTGATAGGAGAAATAAAGATGATAGAGTTGGAAGAATATTTAGGAATGAAGATGGGGCAGGAGGAGGATCAGGACGGAAATGGGACGTGGATGGAGGATCTGAGAAGGAAGATTCTCCAAGGGAAACAGCAAGGATGTTAAACAGGGATTTGGATAGAGAAAGAGCAGTTGCAGAGGCTAAAATGTGGGGCGAGAATTGGAGAGACAAGAGAAGACAAAATGGTCAAGGCAGTTTTGATGGGGGTAACGAATAGTCATTAGATGTTCGATCATTCCCCAGCTAGCTGTACCGTTGATAAGGTAGTCTTGATCTGAGCTTAATTTGTAGTTGATCGTCTGTAAAAATTGACATTTCCACCATCTTATCTTAGGTAAGTGTGTAATGGAGCTAAAAGGGAACTCTTACACAGAGGACAAATGAGGAAGGAGAGGATATATTTCAAAATTGTGAGTAAAGACATGTCTCAACTACTTAGCTGAGGATCATTTACTGTCTGTAATCTTTGATCCTAAACATGTTATACTCTAATCTTGATTGTGTTATATGACAGAAACTTGATTTTACTCCTCTCTGCTCCTTTTCTTATTTTATTTTATTCTTAAAAAAATTACAAGTATTAATACAATATTCAACTCTTAAGTAACACAGATTAATCAGGAATGAAGATATCTATTTGTAGTTAGGGTTGTTCATGGTTATGGTTATAAAACCAAACCAAACCGCCATCAGAACCAAACCGGTTAAAAAAAACCAATAATTGTTTGATTTGGTTAGGTTTGGTTTTAAATTTTGAAAAATCGATATTATTTGGTTTGGTTTTGGTTTTACTAAAAATTAACTGCAAAAATAACCAAATCGAACTAAGAAGTTATACGTATAAATTTTATAATTATTTATAAATAAAATATAAGTATTTTGATAAATTTTAATCAACTTAAGCCTTGAATTTTACTATTTTTTGAAGTCTGACACTTACATTTTAGCTCAACTATTAAAACCTTAAGTTTAGATCCCTCAATATTCATTACTTTAAAGATCACACTCTCTCTGTATTTTATAAAATTTTCTAACGCAATATTGAATAATTTAAAGCTCAAGCTAAAGAAGATGGTAATTGATTAGTTTTGACTATGAAATATTGTTTTTTTTTTTAAAAGTAATTTCTCAATATTTTAAGGTGTAATTTTATTGAAAAATCTATTGACAAGATGTTGAGATCAGAATATTGAACCAACTTTATGCTATTGATAATGAGTTTTTTTAGTTTCTGAAACTTGGTAGATTGGATGAATCACTATGTTCGTGTAATAGCTTATTTGTGAATTATTCATGTACTAAGTGTTCAACAACCTTATTACTTTCCTCAACAACCTTATTACTTTCGAACCGAAAGAACCGAAGAAACCTAACCAAACCAAACCGACGATAACCAAATCGATAGTTATTTTTTTGATTTGGTTTGGTTTGGTTTTAGATATTTAAAAACCGATTTAAATTGGTTTGGTTTTGGTTTTAACTAATAACCGATCCAAACCGAACCATGAGCACCCCTATTTGTAGTATATATTAAAGGGTAAATTACAGAAATCACATACTTTTAAGGCAAAATTACAATCTATCCCTTAAAAGTTTATAATGACAAAAATCCCTCAAACGAATATAATAATATAAGCGCTGATACATTAATCTGATGCGTGAGATATAATAATATAAGTGTTGATACATGCACGAGATACAATAATATAAGCGCTGATACATTAATCTGATGCGCGAGATACAATAATATAAGCGCTGATACATTAATCTGATGCGCAAGATACAATAATATAAGCGCTAATACACTAATCTGATGCACGAAAATGAGGGATTTTGGAGATTTGTAATTTAGAGGGGATAATGGTAATAAGTAAACTAAAAGGCGGAATTTCTGTCATTTTTCCTATATTATATTAAAATCAAGGAGGTCCTTAAAAGTTAAAAAACTGTTGGTTGGACTTTTTGTTTTTCATTAAAAGACTCTACTATAGGAAAAATGTGATGTACTATTTTGTTTCAATATATTATTTAAGTATTTTATAATATTGGCTATTAAATATATAGGAAGATCTATGAAAATTAAGGACTCCTACCAAAATGGTAAAAAAAAAATGTATGGGTATGCACATGAAAAATTAAGGGGATTTCTAAAATATATGAATCCTAAAATATATGGGAAGAACCCTAATAAAGTAAATATATATAAAAGTAATTAGATGTCTATTTTTAATACTAGGAGAATTAATGTTGGTAGGTTTTCTTTTTCCTTTTTATAGTCTTTGTCGTAGGTTGGCTGAATTGCATTATGCTGCCAACATGGAATTAATTTATACTCTGCTCATGACTTTGGAGGCATGAAATTATTTAGTTTTGATTCAAAATTTTCAATTGTCTTCTCCACATGCTTTGCTAATTGATTAACATGTGAGTAATTTTTTTTAATACAATTTAATTGTAAGGTGAAGATTTAAAGAAATATATATATATATGAAATGGGGTAAGTTGATTTTCAATCATTATATATTAGTGTCAACTGTCAATGTTTATTTAATTAAAATTTATTAATATCTTTGATGTATTTTTTAAAATATTTTTACCCTGCATGCTGTAAAATTTTATTCTATCAAGTGTTATGTATATAGAAATTTTGGAATATCTGCTTGCAGAATATCAAAGTAGCACCTTTGACTAAGGTATCCAATATTACTGAAAGTCTATCAATATAACAACGATGATGCGCTAGACTCAATGATATGCTTTAGTTCATTCAATTTATAGGATTATTGAATAAGGTACCCATTTACAACAAATTTTGAAGTGATAGAAAATAAATTGCTATCACAAATGAAATATAAAGAAACATCATTTTATTGATCAAGATTGTGAGTATAATTATGTTTCTCCCTTGATCCTTATTTCTTTAGATTTCTCTATAATTCGAGGGGCGTTAATGACGTATTTCTCGAACTAGAATGATTTGAACTTGATCTCCATAATACGAAGGCCGTTAGTGGCGTATTTCTCGAACTAGGATGATTTAGACTTGATCTCCATAACTCGAGGGCGACGTATTTCTTGAACTAGGATAATTTGGACTTTATCTTTCATGAATGGATTTGTGGATCTTCTTGAAGTATTGATTATCAAGAAGACTGGAATATTTTGATCTCATCGTTGTGAATATTCCATGAATTTGTGGAATTTTTGAGATCTTCTTATCCTTTATATTGACATGAACTAGAGTTTATGGTTGTGTAGCCTCCAAGAATCCTAACTGGAATCGAATACATCTTGTAAAGTCCTAACTAGAATTGAACACGTTTTGTAGAGTCCCATAAATTTTCAATGTCTACAAATGCCCCCTGCTTCAAGGCTTGTTAAAGTGTAGACTTCATGAAACTTAAAGACGAGACTTGATGTACTGATTATTCTTCCACCTTTGCGATTTTGTGGCTTCAGATTTAAATATTTGATTTGCATCGAGAAAAGAGATGAAGGACATAATTGGTCCCACTGGGCATGTCAATTTGTTTGCAACAAATTTTAAAGTGATAGAAAATAAATTGCAATCACATAAAATATATGAAAAAACATATCGAGCAACCCACAAAGATCAGAAGCTAGATCTGAGCATGCACTCATAAATCATAGATTAAAGCATGAAAAATAGATTAAAACCATTTCATGAAATTAAGCATAGAACCAAGGAATCACAAAAGCAATAGAACAATAAATCAAATACCCAAATAGCTTTGTCTATTTCTAGCACAAAAGCCCCAATTTCATATACACAATTACAACCACAATTCTAGCAATTTAATGTAAGGAAATGAAGAAGGGAATAAGAGATTTTACTATATAAGCACACAATCGTCAAACTCAAATGTGAATTGTGAGGCAACTTGTCTTCAAAGTCTCAACCCAAAATATAAACACTACAAATTAGTGCTCTTCCTTAGGCTAAGCTAAAAGATCCACTCTCCTAAAAATTATCTCCTTTAAAATTTGATCTCTATAATGCTTCTCTCCAGCCCCTTTGTGAGAATATTGATCCAATGCCTGAGACATTTCAAATTAGCCCTTGACCAAGAAGGCAGGCTTCGCAAAAGCGGATGGAAGTTAGCAAAAACGACATCCCATCATGTAAGTGAACCCCGCCCTTTGTGGCTAACTCGCAAAAGCGACTACCACACGATCACTTAAGTGACCTGCTGACCGCCTTTGACCGTCCGCTTAAGTGAACCTTCACTCGCACGTGCGGCATCAGAGACCCAATTTCTTCCAGATTCAACTTCTTTTCAGCTTCTTTTCTACTTTTATCCATCATTTTACTTGCTAGCAACAAATACTTGAAATCAACACAATTCAATGGATAATTAGACTCTTTCTCTACTTGAGTGTCACAAAATCATAAGAAAAGAGTCTCAAATGAGTCGAAATTCACCACTAATCAGAGCTACTCCTTAAATTCCCTCAACATAGCTGGAGCCATCAGATAAGGCAAAATATAAACTAACCACGTGTCATCTCAATGTCAATGTCGAAGTCAATATCACGGTGAGGAGGAAGACCAGATAGATCGATATGAAATACGTTAGAGAACTCTCTAACCATCAGAACTGACTCAAGATAAGGTAAACACTCTTTCCTACCAATCGTTATGCCCTTAGAAATGAAATCACACCCCTCACATATGGCTATCAGTACCTGTCCATATAATCAAAGGGATACGAGGCATACACAAAGTGACAGTCTTGGAAAAGTAATCCAAGAACGCATGATATGGAGATAGCCAATCCATATCGTTGAACCAAGTCAAAATCCACCATATCTAACAGAATCAAGTCTACCCAAGTGTGATACCCTAAGATGGACACTACTAAAAAATCACCTACTGTAAAATCTACACACATAGGCACCGACAACGACTCCCAAGATAACTCCAAATGCATAGCATAATAAGAAGATTCATATGAATAAGTAGACCCTGGATCAAACAAAGCTAAAGAAAACCGACGAGAGATAGATATTGTACCTATGATGACAACATCCAAAGCCCACCCATCTGGCCTACTCGGGAAGGCATACATATGGCCGCATCTACCTTGACCGCCTGACCTACCTGACTGAGGACCACCTCGAGTACTCTAGAGACCACCTCTACTACCCTATGAGCTACCTCTAGTCGACTATATCAGATCCCTAGGGCCTGAACATGTTGACCCAATTGCCTGTAGTGACCGATCATGGGTAAATCTCTAGCAAAGTGTCTTAGAACGCCACATGCATAACAACCCCTAACATAAGCAACCTTTTGAGATGACTCAGTTGAACCTGATTGTCCACCACGACCCAAATACCCAAAATGCAAACCCCAAGAAGTATTACCCAAAGCCTGGTTGCCCTGACCACTAACACCCACGAAACCACCATCTGTAATCTATAGGGCTGCCTAAATCGTCCTACTAGGTTGAAACTGCTATGGGTTGCCTCTGCCGAAACACCCCCTACCATGAGACTGAGAGCG